GGCAGGAGGGTTGGACTGGGTGACCCACAGAGGTCCCTTCCAACCCCTACTATTCTGTGATTCTGTGATTCTGTGATTCAGGCTGGGAGCAGTCCTGGTGTCCATGCCGGAGGCCCCGAGCAGTGCGTTAAAAAACTGTGTGTTGGGTTTTATCAAACGGAGACGCGAAGCTCACGTGGATGAGGGCTGTACGCTAACGGGCTCCCGGCAGAGAACCGCACGGCTTCAGATGCTGACACCGAAACAGGGTTCCCGTGGGCCTCGCCTGGTTCTGGAGCAGCACGGCCCATGCCAGAGTTTTTCTCCCAGATGGGCTTTTCAGTGTCTGTTGAGGACTAAGCTCCAGCAGCATGTTTTCCTTTAGCAGGAGCGCTCCCTGCCCACCATCCCCAGAAAATCCCCCAAAACTTAGCATCTTTGACACTTCTCCCCGACACCGGGCTGAAACCGGCTCAAGGATTCACGTGATCAGAGGGGAGACGCAGGGAGCAAGGAGAGCGTGGGACAGGGGAGCTGCAGAGCCCCAGCGTCAGCCGGGCGTTGGTGCTGCCCTGCCGAGGTGGCAGCGACCGATGCCCAATTAGTGCGGTGGTTAACGGGGGGCTGTGCACGGTACCTCTGCCTGGAGATGCCCGTGGCGGAGGGTCTCCCGCTCCAAGCGAACCCAGGGCCGCGCTGGTCTCAAGCCGCTCCACTCCTGCACGATCTTCGCTTTCTGAAAGCAAAAGCGTGTCAGCACCCCCACAGCCACGATTTCACCATCTGCTGTCACGCGGAGGGCGTATTTTTCTGCTTCTTAGGGCCCCCACAACTGCACTCGACTTGCCACGTCTTGTAATGACAACGCTAAAAATGTCTTGGTTAGCCTCTTTTTGTAGAGAGATGACAAGCATCGCTTAGCCAGCCCCATATTGTCATCCCCTGTGAATATTTCACTGTATTTCACCAGATCTCGAAGCTCTGAGGGTTTATGGGTTGAATGAGCTTGCGCTAACTCATGGTAAGGCAGCAGCACGGAGCGATCCGTGAGACCAGGGCTCTCGCAACGAGCGGGGACAGAGGCTCCCCCCTCCCCCCCCCCCCACGGGGGGCCGGCCC